GAAGTGCAAAAAATATGAACGAACCATGTAGTAAGGAGTGCCGACCAGCGAGTGAGCAGCAGTTGTTTTGGAACTAAAGAAGCGACCCAGACCTAAGTCTCCTAGCTTGACAACGCCTTCAGAAGTGATAAAGACGTTTGCTGGTTTGATATCTGAAAAGAATGTAAATTAACAAATTCTGAAAAAAAAATTAAGACTTATGTGCCGCTACCTCTATGCATAATTCTTTTGGAGTGCATGTGAGCAATGGCCCTAGCTAATTGAACGAAATATTTCCATATGGTCCGTTCCGGTATCAAGCGACCGTGCTTTTTGAAGTGCTGAACTATGAAAATTTCTCAATAAGAATAAAAAAATCAGTTATAGAACAAGGTTCTCAAAGAACAAACCTTGATCATCCGGCTCATGTCCCCAGCTTCTGCAAGTTCCAGAACAATGTTAAGCTGATTGTTATCGATAAAACTCGCGTAATATCTAAAAATGTTCCTTTTTCATAGTCACAACCTTATTAATCACTATTTCTTAGAGAAGAAACCTGATGACATTTACATGGTTCAACTGCTTAAGGAGATCTATCTCCTTCAAGCAATCTTGTCGAGCTTTTTGATCTACCATTTCGAAAACCTGGAAAATAATTTGCTGGAAAAGAGCAGGGCAAGTAGACAGTTTCATACCTGTATTTTTTTTAGTGCTACCATTTGACCGTTCCAGCTACATCTTGCACGGAATACCTAGGAAAGTCAAGATCAAATCCTTCAGCTATTGCATAAGTCAAACTACTGCTCTCAATTTGAATCCATGTTACGATAAATCATTACATCAAACCGTTTGATAAAAAGGTGACGGGAGGGGAGGGTGGTAAAAAACAACATGTATCACTGCTCTAGAATCGTATTTTATAGGAATATAGAGTCATTTGCCAAACAGTTAACGAATTACTTTTTTGTGCAAACCAAATTCAGGGCTGAAATGGCTCGTATAGCTTCCTTATCCGAAGCTGAATCCATTTTCAAAGATTTTTACTGATGATTTTGACATTTTTGCAGGAAGTAGTGAGAACACTGTTTCACGCTTTCCTAGGAATAGTTTTTTGGTACTTTTCCGTCATTTGGACTCAATTTTAAAAATGT